CCCAGGGGCTGGCTGGGGATACTTCACCGTCACACCGCCCCCGAAGTGCGACAGTGCCTGCGTGGCGTCGCGCCACGAACGACAACCCGACCCCCGAGCAAGCCAGCGGCTCGAGAAGGGCCAACTTCCGCCGTGGCAGACCCATCTCGCCACCAGTCAGCTTTGACGGGCGAGTCTCAGCGTCAAACGCGCGACTCGGCGCGCCGTGCATGCGCTCGTGACCGCCGTCGTTGGCGTGAGGACGGGCCATCGGTCATGGGCGCCAGCGGGCCCGCCGGCCGCGGCGCGCCGCCTGGCTCGCCGCCGGCAGGCACGCCCGGCCGCCGCCGGAGGAGCCGGCCGGGCCTCGGGCTGTTCGACCCGATCGATTGTCGGCGAGGCGGGCTGCCCGTCGCCGGCCGTTTGGACTCGGTCGCGGTGACGGGAGATGCAGGCGCACGCTCCGGACTGCGTTCGTGAGGGGCGGGGGGGGGGGGGAGGCAGGGACGGCGGCTTGAGAGTCACGAAACGCGCGGGGCTTGGGCGCTGGTCGGTAGTTTACTGGAACGGTTCGCATGAACGGCAACGTTTCAAGTGAAGTGTGATTGACCTACCATTGCGGTGGATGTTGCCTGCTTGTAGGCCTTTCTCAAAAATCACCACCTGGGTGACAAAGGATAGCCCACCCATGTATCTTGGAACTGGTACTAAGTAAGGAAGAACGCCTGCCTACACAGCCACACCAATGCGGTAGTGAAGCCGTAGTTGCCTGTCTCATCAACACAGCACCTACACACTTTAGTGGTGCAGCGAGAGAAAGCCCACTCAGGCATGTTCTGCACGCTTGCGATAGGTTTGACAGCAGCAGCATCAACAGCGGAGTGGCCTCGGGCCGTGTTCAGTGTGCGTCGGTGTCGGGCTCGTGTATAACGTTTGGCGGTGGACGAGCCATATCATTTATTTTGTTTTTAGCTGGTTGAAAGGCTCAGGCACTTCCTGAAATATGTCATTCCGTCAGCATCGTTGAAGGGCAAAATCACGGCTTGCTGCTCGGCTCTGGCGTTTGCTGATAGTGTCCGGCAGGGACGTTGTCCCGTCTGAGGTGAACTCATGGGTAGCAAGCAGGGCAATTATGGTTAAAAAGGACATTTCGTCAAGCTTGAGGTGTCTCCTCCTTTATCTACAGAGAGACACTCGTGAGGTGCGGCGAGAGGCTCATGACCTTGGCAGGTCCCGAGAGTTTCGTGAGGACTCTTGGGACATTGCAGAAATGACATTGAGCGTGTACAAGGTCTCCGAGCTTGCAAAGAGTGTTCTCCGTGTGAAGACTGCATGGATTTCCTTTGATCCTGAAAGCGGCCCCTGAATTTCCGAGAGCCCTGGAGCGACAACAGAGACTCAGTTACCCAGCTCTGGAATGCTACTCCCATGGCCAGTGGTATTTACATTTTTATTTGCATTTGCATTTGTACTGTCCTAGGGCAATCCACACGAACACGTGGCTATTTTTACCCAGTCATGGTACAAGGCGAACACACGCGCTCGCCCACTTCGTGCAGCTCGGAGTCAATGGATACAAGAAAATGCATAAATCAGGCTAGTCTTTAAGTATTCAGTCACCTACGACCGCCAGCCAGCAGCAAATGTTTCATATCACGGGCAAAACACTGCGATGGCAGCGACTTGAATTGGTCCGCCAGCCCGTCGTAAGTGGGCGGAGCACGGTGCGCGACCCGCCTCCTCCCAGCCTCAGTCCAGCCCGCCTCTTCCCAACCTCGGTACAGCCGGGCTCCTCCCAGCCTCGGTCCAGCCCGCCTCCTCCCAGCCTCGGTCCAGCCCGCCCGCTGTCAGCCTCGGTCCAGCCCGCCTCCTCCCAGCCTCGGTCCAGCCCGCCTCCTCTCAGCCTCGGTACAGCCGGGCTCTTCCCAGCCTCGGTCCAGCCCGCCTCCTCCCAGTCTCGGTACAACCGGCCTCTTCCCAGCCTCGGTCCAGCAGGCCTCTTCCCAGCCTCGTTACAGCCGGGCTCCTCCCAGCCTCGGTCCGCGGCTCAGGGAGGTGCAGCAGCCTGTCCTGTCTGGTCGTCGCCCTCATGTCGTGGTTGTTTCGGTTGACGCCCAGCTTGGAGACCAGACTTCGGAATGCCAAGAAGGCTCTCCGTTAAGCCCGATGCTCTGCCGTTTAAAATACGGATATGTCTAAATCGAACTAAGCCACGCCATCCTGCGAAAAAAGACCTAACGACCTCCGATGCAATTTTAATTCCACGTTTTAAACGAGACACCAGAATCTCGGAGAGTCTCTGGTGTCTCCAGAAGATCTCTCGCCAGCGTATGCAAATTGTGAACGGCTCCCCATTAGTCTCAGAAAGGGCCCTAGAGCCATACAGCTATCATGTCGATGTGCGAAGAGGGCACTCAGTCTGCAGAAGCCACACAAGCTGCAGGAGCTCCTGACGACCCCGCCTGTCAGCACTTTGTCATCCGGGGACCTCGGGCTCTAAAATCTAACGAACGCAAGTTGGTTGTTGGAGGGCTCTCAACGCTCATCTACGATCCGTCGCCAGTAGGTACGAACGCATCGAGAAAGGTTCCATGATTGTTGCAGTCATTTTGTTTGCCAGCTCCATAATTACAAACTGTCCTTGTTCTTTTGAGAACAGTGGCGAAAGCCCCTGATGTTTCCAGGCTGCCGTTACTCTGTTATTCTGGTTTCGTTGTTAACTTGCTGGACGTCGACCTGCACTATGTGGTTTAACACTGAATGCCAGTGGAGTCTTATCCTCGTTGGTCTTCTGAGCTGACCTTCAGTTAGCATTGCAGATATCCATTGGAATGAGGCCCGACGCCGATGCCTTCACGAAGATAGCTGTTGTAGATTCTGACGGGTAACGTGACCATTGCACTAAGCCAATAGTTGACACGCTTCCCGGACACCGAGCAACAGGACAACGGGAGGTACGCAGATCTCAGTGTACACCTACCATCATGTTCAGAACTAGAGGGAAAAGAAACACCGAACAAAAGCTCAGAGGAGCGGAACGCGGACGGACCCAGTCGCTGAGATGGCCGCTTCCGCCGCGGCTGGACGAGCGCTGTGTTTTTCGACGCCGGCGTGACGCCCTCGAGCTCCGCGAGCAGCTGGCCGTGGCATCGATCGTCCCAAGCCGGCGACTTCAACCGCTGGCCGGGGTAATTGGCCTGCGTCCGGGCGCACAATGCCGTCGCCCGATACGACGGCATCTGCCGCCGGCGTCGGCGGCGCGTCCGCTGTCGCCGAATCCGATCGATGCCGCCTCGTGAGGCTTGGGCTTCTGTCAGGCAGGTTGCCAGCCCGGCGAGCGGTGAAAGCGTGATGTCCACACGAAGGGCTTGCTACGGCGCTGGGTTGCGGGGAACCTCCGCTGACCGGCGGGGATGCCTTTCTGGCGTTGACTTGCAGTGGAGGTGGTTCTCCGTAAGTGGTGCAAATCAGTTCGCCCAGAGCGTGACTTGTTGGTTCGTGAGTCCGCGGCGACAGGGCGGCAATTTAAACTTTCCGCTGCGGGATGTTTCTAAAACTCCACTGGCGGGCCTCATTAATGCTCGTGGCACGCTTCCACGCAACACCGTAAGTTCCACGTTAACCGTGCTTTTAACCGGAACAAGCTCTTTTAAAAAGATGAAGCGCGTTCCGGTAGAAACGATGCGAACGATTCTCGCACTAGCGCGTTCCCGCGCAGCGTTAACCAAACGCATGTTTCAATCATTAGTGCGTATAAATCACCTTCCGGTTTAACGGATTCCGCCGCTTGGCTCAAGAATGGCATGCTGTTGGTCATTGCTGCAACAAATAACGGATTAAGGTAGAACGATTTTATGTCACCTGCCAAGCGCCCAAACTCTGGTGCCCAACGAAAGAGTTTTCCAAAACAGAATTGGAGAACACCGAGCGCCACGTAGCAGCGCCTCCGCTGAACCAGGTCGGACACATTGGGACCGGGCCTGACATGCGGGGGCCGGCTGGCCCGCTCCTGCCGAAGGACGCGGGTGCCAGGCGATTAAGCTGTTTCACGACTTTACAGCCGGCCGCCGACCGACAATGGTTCCAGCAGCTGGCTTACAGGCTGGGCCACCGCTGTGTCCGTGCTAGACGCTGCGTCTGGCGCTCGTGATTGCTTTAATGCTGTTGCAGGCTATTTCGGCTCGCGTAAATTGGCCGCCTGTAGAGTTTCCTGGAGTTGCTGTAGCTTTTCAGCGTGTGCGCCGGGGGTTCCGCCTGCGTCGCAAACTTGCAGCAACATGTCTATTCTGATGACGCGCTCGGTTATCAGCCGTAGCCTGTACAGTCGTCTGAATGGCGACGTAAGTGGCCCGGATATCGAGCTGGTGCGCCCCGGAGAGAGAAGGTGCGCGTGGTGCTGGTGCGCCCCGGAGAGAGAAGGTGCGCGTGGTGCTGGTGCGCCCCGGACAGAGAAGGTAGAAGGTGCGCGTGGTGCTGGTGCGCCCCGGACAGAGAAGGTGCGCTTGGTGCTGGTGCGCCCCGGACAGGGAAGGTGCGTGTGGTGCTGGTGCGCCCCAGACAGGCTAAGAAACGCGTGCGCGTGATCAGACTCGGCATACTTTTTATACGGAGTGACGGGATTGGCGTGCGAGTGGCGCCGTCGGAATGCCAAGTGTCGTTTTGTGTGCGACGCTGCGAGACAAAGGAGCAGTGACGTCGCGTGCAATGGGCCGCCTGGCCAATCCACGCTCACTCCCACAGCCCCTCCCACTGACGCTTCCACGCCTCCACTCCCACACCTTGCCGCGCGTCATGGCGGCCAGTCCCACACCGCGTCACGTTCCATGGCGCTGACCGCCGTCGTCCGTTCGCATGGCGCTGCCCGCCATCGTCCGTTCGCATGGCGCTGACTTCCGTCGTCCGTTCGCATGGCGCTGACCGCCGTCGTCCATTCGCATGGCGCTGACCGCCGTCGTCCGTTCGCATGGCGCTGACCGCCGTCGTCCGTTCGCATGGCGCTGACTGCCGTCTTCCGTTCGCAGTGGATGAACTCCCGGCTGGGTCACCTGTACCAGCCGTTCAACATCCGGCTGTTCCACCTGGCGCTGGTCGGCCTGCTGATCGTCTGCTGCTTCTTCCTGGTGCCGGCGGCCGTCTTCAGTCGCGTGGAGGACGGCTGGAGCTTCCTCGACTCGCTCTACTACTGCTTCATCTCGCTGACCACGGTCGGCCTGGGCGACTACATCCCTGGCGACCGGCCCGGCCAGGAGTACAGGCCCCTGTACAAGGTGGCTATCACGGGTGAGTGGCGCTGGGGCACGGTCAGAGATCAGAGGTCAGAGGTGACTATGAGGCCATCGGTGCAATGCGGGCGCGCTGGGTTGGGGGCCATGTCGTCACCACGTGTGAGGAAGACCGTGACGCTACCACGCTACACGTGACATGAGTATGAGTACACATGAAACACGCATGCAGAGTATGAGAGACGAGAATGTAGACGAAAGTAGAAATTTAGAGACGGTGATTTTCGTAGGGTTCTGGAAAGTTGACGTCATTTTCGTCTACCTCTGCTTAAGCTTTGGAGGATTTCTTTCTTTGAGGGCTCCTCACGACCAACGTCCCTCAGAATGGAAGGTTTAATTAGGACTTCAAGTACCTACTCAGCAAACATTGGTTCCCGGGGCTTGTTCGTCTCTGAAGATTGTCTTTGTGTAGTGCCCGTATCCAGCCGACGTCGAATTAATTTGGCCGGGCGAGCAAGACCTTAATTATGTGGACGCATCTTGAGCCAGACTTTTCTTAGCACACCAGCGGGTGAAGTGATGCCGACAGCGAATCCTAACGCCTCAGCATTCTGCGTAGTACACATCATGCATTTCACATCCAGCCGTATGCTATGCGCCCGGCTGACTTCAACGACCTGGGGGGGGGGGGGGAGGGGCAATCCACGAGCGGCACAGAGCTCCTCCTGACGACTGGCGTGTTTGCTTTCGTTTGCTGGCGCCCCGCGGGGCCATAACTGGTATGGTGTCGGCCCCATGCGCCATGGCACTGCTGGTGGCGTCGGCCCCATGTGCCATGGCACCGCTGGTGGCGTCGGCCCCATGCGCCATGGCACTGCTGGTGGCGTCGGCCCCATGTGCCATGACACCGCTGATGGCGTCGGCCCCATGCGCCATGGCACTGCTGGTGGCGTCGGCCCCATGTGCCATGACACCGCTGATGGCGTCGGCCCCATGCGCCATGACACTGCTGATGGCGCCGGCCCCATGCGACATGACACTGCTGATGGCGCCGTCCCCATGCGCCATGACGCTGCTGGTGGCGTCGGCCCCATGTGCCATGACACTGCTGATGGCGCCGTCCCCATGCGACATGACACTGCTGGTGGCGTCGGCCCCATGCGCCATGGCACTGTTGGTGACGTCGGCCCCATGTGCCATGACACCGCTGATGGCGTCGGCCCCATGCCCCATGACACTGCTAATGGCGTTGGCCCCATGCGATACCATCTGTCGACGCGTCATGAAACAATAATCGAATAGAGCCAAATTAGATAGCGTAATCACTCACACATGCCGGTCGCCGAGTCCAGGTACTAACGTCGATGATGGTCGGCGGTGATGGTGATTGCGGTGCTGTGGGGTCGGCAGCTGCTCGGGTCATTTCACGACTGCCTTCGTGGCGTCATCCCCCGGTCAAGTTTCCGGCTGTGAAGGTCAATGGTTCCCATTGCCCGCGCATCATGTCCAGCGGCAGTGAAAATATTTGGTTGTCGGTGGGGTTAGAAGTCGTGTGCTGAATCCGCTTGCCGGAGTCTGCAAACATTCTTTTTGAGCTATTTGGACGCATATGAACAAAGCACTATAAACGTTGTGCTAACGAGATTGAATGAAAAAATAGCGTTGACTCGTCACTTGTGCAAAATCTGTGCTTAAGAGTGATCCAGCCATGGTCCATTTGACAGATGGTCTAGCCATAGCCATCGTATTCAGATGGCCGAAGGCTTTGTTCATTAAGTTTTGATCAAGGTGATCTACAGGATCGGTATGTGTGAAAGTGATAGTAGTGCTCGGTGAGGGTGACACCTTTATGCCAGGTACTTGTCGACAACTTTACGACGTCGCTGATGAAGATGATGTCCCGCTCCTATACCACATACAAGTCCAGCAGACAGAGCCTGACGATAGTAACCAGACGCGCCGCTCTCCCCCGCCGGCTGCCCCGATGACGCCGCCGCCTCCTCCGCAGGCTACCTGCTGGTCGGCCTGGTGATGATGATGTGGTTCCTGACGGTGTTCGCCGAGATCCCACAGCTCAACTTCGGCATCATGTTCCTGCACCAGTCGGACGAGGGCACCTCCGACCCGGAGAAGATGCGCCTCTCGGGCGCCGGCGCCGGGCCCAAGTACACGCAACAGGTATGGCTGGCGGCGCGCCGGTGGCCGCCCTCCCGCCCGCCGTCCGGCCGCCGGCGGAGCGACCCACCAGGTCGATGGGGAAAGTGTGGCGCCGTGCGGTGGGTGGGTGGCCGGGAGCGGGGCCGTGTGGCGGGCGGGGCGCCTGGAGTGGGGCCGGGTGGCAGGCGGGCGCCTGGGGCCGGGCCGTGTGGCGGGCTGGGGCCGGGCCGTGGGCCGGGCCGTGTGGCCTGGAGTGGGGCCGGGTGGCAGGCGGGCGCCTGGGGCCGGGCCGTGTGGCGGGCGGGGTGCTTGGAGTGGGGCCGTGTGGCGGGCGGGGCGCCTGGAGTGGCGCGGGGAAGCGTCTCACGGCTAATAACGCGGTGTCTCGTGAGATGCTGGGCGTTTCTTAGCTACCGTAGGCGTTCTTTGGTAAATGCTGTGGCGACCGTGCGCTCGTCTGGACTCAGAGCAGGAAAACGCCGCCGAATGGAATACCCTCGGGCCGAGCGGCGTCTCCACCACGACCGACATTTCGCGTACAGATCGCTGCAGACTCGTTGACCCGTCGCTCAGATTATGGTCGACGCGTGACATTTCACGGCTGTTCCGCCTCAAGAAGTCGGGTTTAACATGAACTCCACGCGAAATAGGAGCGCGCCGGCAATTTTACATGCCGCCGACTCTTGCTTAAAAGGACGCCGCCAGGCGATGTCCATGCTGACATTTTCGTGAAAGGGCTTTCTCAAAGATTGCGAAACCCAGCCGATGCCATTTTCGAGAGATTGAGGTCAAACCTTCTTCCGACGGGTCTGCGGAAATCAAAGTGTCGCAGACACTGTGTTCCTTCCGCTTGAAGTGAGGTGAGCTCCAAGCCGGTGCCACCGTGTGTCCAGGGGCTCGTGGCATGCTCACATCTTCGAGAGCAGCTGGGCCAGTGCGTCATTGATTGATCCTGCTGTTCGACGGAACGGTGGTATTTTCCATCCGGTAGATTTTCGTGGCATCTCAAAGCACTCAGGCTGGCATCATCACTCACTTCCTTTTTTCGAGGTAATTTTGAGCGAGTCTCCCTGCTGCCTTTGGCTCGTACTCCCGGTACGTTGTTTGTTTTCCCAATGTTGTACACAATCACTGGATTCTGGCCCAAAATGGCGAACAGTGTTATGACCAGAAGACATAAAAACAGATCTTTTTTTGCCTTAGGCTCGTTTTTGTGGCATTCATTGGCGTGATGCTTGGAATTCTCTCCTGCGCCCGACTTGGGTTGCTTTGCATTAGTGCTGGACGTGGTGTCTTAGCCTCTAATCACGCGACGCAGACTTTTTTGTGTCGTTGAATTAACGCGTAGCGTGTGTCAATTCTCTTGACTGCTGTTTATTCGGAAACGTATTTCGTCATTCCAGACGTTCTCAAAACAACGCTGGGGTGGATTTCATAACATCGTACAGTTACAAATGTTAAATCGCTGACTCGCACTTTCTTACACCCTACCTTGACAGCACATTCGACTCCCTCATCAACAGATTTTTCACTCCGCCTCCCTCGTCTGGTTGCATCCGACGACCTTCCGCAGCTGCAGCCAGGGTCGAGCGGAGGGCAGCTGGTCCTGTTGCGGTCGCCGTCGGCTTGCCGGCGCCTGTCGGCCTGTGAACCCAGGCCTCCGCTGGCCCGCTCTCCCCAGCCATTCGTAGTCTGCGGGAGCACGGCCCGCCGTCGGCGCCGGCGTTATGCTGATTGACCCGTGCTGATGCTGACCGGAGGCCGACGCCTCCCGGCTCCGGCGGCGATGGCGCGGCGGGGCGGAAATGGCGCGGAACCGATGGCCCCGGGCGCCGCCTGCGCCCCCCCCCCCACACACACACACAGCCGCTCCTGGTCGTCTGGGTCCCCCCAGCAAACGTCTCCCGCGAACGCGCCGACGAATGATCCGGCGGCGTCTCCCGCCACTGTACCGACTCCGGCGCCCAGCGGGACGGTTGTCGCTGATGTCCGCGCGCTCGTCTGGGGCGTGACGGAGAGGACGCATCGGCATCATGGGGGAACGTGGGGTGAGAAGAAGTAGGGTGTCGCGGGCGATATGCAGGCACGGGGAAACGCCGCGGGGTAGCATGGTGCTCGCTGGTGTTGTTCATGCTTACATACACTCCCCATGATATTTGGTTGGTGTAAGATTATGCAATACTGGAAAGAAAACGTGTTATGTGACGGACATGCACTGAGTGAAATTTTGCGAAAGAATGAAAGGAAATGGTGCTAGCTGACATGCCAACTTAAAGAGAAAGAGTTGAACATTCCGATCTGTACGTTAGCACTATTTTAAAACTTGCAACGCTTGATCTTGCCAGACTCCGGCTTTTATCACGTCACTTTATAAGCAGCAAGCGTGCTTTGTTTTGTTGAGTAGTCATGAAGGGCTTTACGCCTGAGATTTTCTCACCATCGGCCCACGAAGTCTGGGAAATTAGCCGAGATGGGCAGTGCTTCGCTTTGTATCGAACCACATATATCGTGGTACCTCACGAGCCACTTAGCAAATTGCGCTCTGGCACTCAGGTTCCGATAAATGGCTTCGTGCTCTGCTTTAAGCGAGCTATTGAAAAGGATGGGTTGGTGAATCTAGTCTCGGGGTTAAGAATTAGACTTCAGACTTGGCGGGGTGTTTTTCTAGTTTTCTTTTCAATCCTGTCGGGATGGCAAAATGTCTGCACCAACAACAGATGTTTTGACTCATTTGTTAGCTTTCTGTACTTCCGAGGGTTAGCCAAATATTTCCGCTGACTTGATCACCATAGCGCTAAGTCAACCCAACGGCCTATATCATGGCCTAAATTGTATGCAATTATGTCAGCATCACCAACGCATGTTGCAATCATGATGCATCACCAACGCATTGCCGATGCCTCAATTCATAAGTTTTATTCTATTGTCTTGTAGTTCTCTAGCATTGATCATCGTTATGCAGGAGCAATAAATGCATGAGCCCGTGAGCATTATTACGTTGTCTCGGTTTGTTCAGATTTAGATGGCCGACGGATGGCGAATCGCCCACCAATCCCAGGCCTGATTCGGGTGCCCACGCTGAACTTAAGACCTGTTCTAAGCCGCTTGGCAAACTGAGGAAGCTTTGGATATTTGATATTTGCAACCAGATATTTGAGGACTCCTGCCAATTGCCGGCCCACACGGGCGTGTCAAGACAGAGTTTGGGAGATGATAGGTCAGTCTTATGTGATCACTTTTTTACAAGTCTGCTAGTCGCTACGCTAAATGCACAAATACCAGCCATCAGTCGCATCACAGTTATCATCCGTGAGATATCACGAAGGTATCTTGACTGTATCGACCTTCTTCAGATAGCCATGCATTAGGATTTAACAGTGGATGCAAAATGAACACATGGATTGTAATCCATCTTCCCGAGAGGGTTTATGGACAGGATTGCAATGTTGCGTACAGGAAGTGATTGCAAATTGTGCAAGGATATTTTAGAACATGATTTCACGCATCGCCTCCCAGTCTTAACGCTTAAGCTCGTGTGATGCCGGCAATGAGAACTACCATGAAGTGCAGGTGTGCTGTGCCCACCAGAGCTCATTGTACGGCACCTAGTTGTTTAAACGCAGCACTTTATGCCAGACACATAACAGCTTCCGTGGCGGAACACAAGGGCTTTTCGTAAGGTCAGATCCCATCTTTGCGCTATACGCTGCTATGAACGCACGGTGCCTGACACCGAAGATGAGCCGGGGCTGGATGTGCCTGGGCGGAACTGTCCTATTGGCTCGTCCTGAAGCGACGTGTCATGTTACGCTGAAGCGACGTTTCGTGTCACAATTTTACTGACAGGTTTTGATGGATCGGCCGAACAGTACGGTTGTTACTGACTATTGGTGATGGGTTTCCGCTCAATATTTCAGTATCGCGCGGACGAGTTTTTCCACCGTCGATAGCAAGGGGCTTTAAATACATTTTATTTCTATTCCTAATGGTTGAAGCATGCCTCTGACGCGCACAACTCCTTTAGATGGACTGCTGAAAGGTCAAGCACCTCACATTTTATCCAGTTTTCCATACTAAAGCGGGTTTTGGAGCGTGGGCCATCAAACGAGCTGGTGAGTGCTTCAGTCGATGACCGGCTACAGGCCCGGAGGCCGTTTATCAGCCTCCGGGGGTGGTGGCTGGGCCGGTGGACACCCGCCGAGGGTTGAGAGAGGCCCGGAGGCTGCCCATCAGCCCCCAGGGATGGCGGCGGGCCGGTGGACCCTCCAGCGTGGGTCTAGCCGGGGTGGTGGTAGAGCCGGTGGAACCTCTAGCCTGGGTCGAGGCGGGGGGGGAGGGGTTGGCAGGGCCGGTGGAGCCCCCAGTGTGGGTCGAGCCGGGGTGGTGGCGGGGCCGGTGGAGCCCCCAGTGAGGGTCGACGGTCGTCTGGCTCCACTCTCGCGTGCTCGCAGTAGACCCTGCCGTTAGACTGTCGCTCGAATCTGAGACCGACGGTTTGTTTGGAGCTGTGGGCTGGACGGCTGCGGTCTGAGATGCTCACGCGTGGTAACGCGAGGTTTTTGTGAGACAACTCTGCACCGCCCTGCCGTTTTGTTGTGAGGTTCCATTCACGGCTTATTACATGCCAACTGAAAGGAATTATATATATATATATATATATATATATATATATATATATATATACATATATGCACATACATACATATAACCACTTAACTGCTAAATTTGTCAGCACTTTGCTTAATGAATTACACTGTATGCAACACATCACATTGTATGTCTAGAGGATATGTGACCGTTGGTCATGCAGTCCTGCTCTAGGCGAGGCCAGGGGAGAGCTGGTGTCTCCAAACGAGCCTCCGTCTGCATTCCTGGCCAAACACTGACGTTCGCCCGCCTGTTACAGATGGAGAACCACGTGAAGGCGAGCAGTCGGCCGGTAGAGGAGACTCCCAGCCCCGAGGAGACCACACCAGTGCACGCGAGGCAGAAGTGATGCAGTCTACCTTGCTGCTGTCGCTCCCGCGGCCATTTCGGCAAGGCCCGGCCAGCCGCGCAGCTTCGAAAGCCGGCCGATAGGTGGCAGCCCGGTCGCCCGTCGGCAGCCGGCCACTTCAGCTGAGCTGACGCGGACGTTGGAGAATATTGTCGCCGCACGCAGAAGAGCTCCAGAGTGGAGCCGTGGAGCGCGTGTCTTGCTTTAGCGGCGGGCGCGTGTCGTCGGTAACATCGCTGGGAGGCGGCGCGCACGAGACTGCTGTCTGAAGCCCGTCTGACTGCTGTCTGCTGTCTGAAGCCCACACGGCCGTCTGGGTCTCGTTGGCTGTGCGCCAGCGTGCGAGACGACCTAGCATCATCCTGCCGCGGCGATGGGCGAGGTCTGCCGACCCGGTTGGGGGCGGGGCAGCCTCAAAGTCACGTGATTGCCAGCGCGGCGGAATAAGCTGACCATTTTCGGTGCTGCGGGTCGTCCGACATTTGAGACGGAAATAAGCGTAGCGTTCGCCGGGGTCGGCTTGCAGGCCGCGGGTCACTACGTGCGTTAGCAGGTTAGCGGTCTCTTTTTACGAACATTCTTCGCGTGGACTGTCTTTCAATCTTATAGCTCGCAGTCCTGTTGACGTTAGAGCAAGAGAATGCACCGGTTAGCGTTCTTTCACGTTAACAAGTATCTCAACTCAGTGATTTCATGAGGTCTTGTATGGTTTATTTTTTAACCGATTAGCTGTCTAAACGACGAATATTTCAGATGTTACTGACAAGAAGCACAACGAGATTGCTACATTTTGCAAACTACTCACAGGCGTGTTTTTCGCTCACCAGTATATAATATTTGCGGTAAGACCGCCGGCGTGATATTCTCGACACCACGAGGGGACCCACCTTAGTTGACTGAGACCACGTGTTAGCGCTTGGCGTCCCAAGGGCGGACTTTGCTCGAGACACTGCGGCAACCCGCCGGCATCGCTCTCCGCCAGGGTCCTGCGCGCTGTCACGTGGTTGCGAGAGTTGTTGCCGAGAGCTGCCGGAGCGCGGCCAGCGGCTCCGGTCGGTCTGGCACCGCGCCATGCGTGCGCGCGTGTAACACGCCATGTGTGCGTGCCATGAGCGGCGAACACCAGCGACAGGTGGAGCGTGTAGAGCTAGACTTTCAACATCGTTAGTTCTGATGCATGTCAGTATCGTATCGTGACTTCGCCACTGCGTAAGGCAAGCTAGCCCACGCGCTGTTGCGCATGTGGAGCAGCTGGTGAACGGATCCGGGCAGCGCGCGGGGCTCTCTCGCCTGGACAATGAGGCCCGACCCCCGCCGCCCCGTCTTTTCAGCACGGCCCGCATTGCCGGCTGGAAAGTCAGGGCCCGCTCCTCGCGACCCGCACGCCGGTTGGCTGCAGTGACGTGACATTGTCCTGTGACTGATGGAGCCGGGCGGTGTGTACGTAGGTGGCAGGCTGGATGTTGCTGTTTTGTTACTCGCGTGGGATCATCGTGTGCGCTCCTTATACGGTAGTGGTGTTAATATTGCGGTTTGGTGTTTGAACACGGAGTTTGAGGGGTCTGTTTCCCCAGTCAGTACGGCGTTTCATGTCTGTGCTGACAGCTGTTTCCCTTGTAATGCGTTTGTTTCTTGGTCAGCTGGCTGAGGGGCAGGACTTTTTATATGTTTATTTACACTAAGAACTCGTCACAGTTCATGTGTGTGGACGTAGATTGTTCTTTTCAGCATCTCTCGAGCTGTTTTAATATTCTGGTCTTCGTGTGAGTATCCGATTGTCTATAACTGACTCGAATCTGTGTTTAATTTTCTGTGAAACTCGGCCCAAAATGCGACAAACCATAGGTTTCTGTATCCTGACCATCTTTGCGCAAATGCCTGTTGACCTTGCCAAGGTCGTGGCTCGCATCAGTACGACATCACGCAGCATTATTAGTATCAAAGCTATTAGAAAAGGCTACGCATACGTGACGCCACCATGGGAGTGAAGTTTGGAAGCCCGCATTAAGGTTTTTGGTTGAAACTACGACAAGGTTGGTAGATACTAGTCACATGATTAAAACCGTGATTTCGCAATTGAATTGGATGGCAGACCTGTTCTACATCTTTATTTCAATGTTATGTGAATGTATATAATAATTTTCATTTCAAACCTTCTATAGGCAAATCAATACTAGGATCTGACTGCAAAGGTAAATCCTACTAAACCACATTTTCTAGTTGCAGCACCCGCCATATTCGTCGAGGCCAACGCGCGTTAATATCTATATGTAATGCGTTTTGTAGAAGGAATATTTATATATATATATATATATATATATATATATATATATATAATGTGTAATATTTACATCCACTAAATTAATGGGCACTGATAGCGCATGTATTTTTGCACCGCAGTATGTACATGGAGTGAAACGTGAAAATAAGGGCAGTGATGAGAGCAGGGCAGAAAATGAGAAGGGCAGGTAACAAGAATTTCGCTTTCGCTGTGCTACGATCTCCCCAGGTGTTGATTAGCTTGCAGATCTATCATGCTGGATGGATTAGATAAAATGACGCGCAGAGAATTATACCCTAACCACGCTAAAATACCTCTGTTAGACTATTTTGGATCTGAGATATCGACCTCGACTGTTGCCGGAAATCGGCCCATTTTGCAGGAAAATTCTGCTTATTTGAACTGAACTGGCACGCGCTTTATTTAAGCCCCGGGGTTCACCACTCACTAACCTCATAAGAGCAGGCCAATCCTGCATCCACCCTGACAACGCTCACCCTAAGGCTACAGGACGTGCATTCCAACTTCTCAATACGCGTCCGAGGGTGCTGTGAGC